CAATATCGGATGTTTAACATCGGCTGATACCGATCCGATACAGAAAAACATTTCTCAATCGACTTGAAATGTTTCTTTTTCTTTAAACACAATTATACTGAATTATACATTTATTTGCCAACTCTGCACCAGTACAGCACATTTAAACACACCACTAGCTTCACATGTTTGGTCAAATATGTAAAATCAGTTTTAATTTGTTCAGTCAGTACATTTAGGAATATTTCAGCCAATGTGAAATAAACATATAAAAATAAACAACGAATGGTTCAGAAAGTTCAATTAGAAATGTTAAATATAAGGTAAAATAAATAATAAAACATGTCGCTCACAGCACAAAGCATAGAATTAGACTGAATAGATCAGACACATTGTCACCAATACCTGATCAATATATCAGAACCGATACAGATATTTATATTACATCAGTGCATCTCTGCTATTTAGGAACTTGCAGTAATTTTTTTTGTTTCTGACTCAACATTGAAGTCCAGAAAACTGAATATCTGTGTTGGCCATTAAGAGCCTGAAAATTATTTACATATTTTTGGATAAAGTTTTGAAGATTCACTTTTTTCAAGTCATGAGCAGCTCAGATTTGCATTTTTTTAACCTCAGAATGAAGCTATATTGTTTCAGTCCCACAGCTGCAGCCTGCAGCTGCTTTTGGCAAAACAATCACCGAGCATCACCGCTCACGCCCTTTAATTAGCACAAAAAGAAGCAAAATCTTACTTATTTATGCATCTTGAACCAAAGCTGAGCTCAAGCTAAGCAGATAAATTAATAGAAGAAAAAATACACAAGCTTTTGTCTGGTTGTGTTTCGTCACAGGACTCTGCATGCAGGCTCCACCGCGACACCCCTCCTTGTTAACCGCACTAAAATACTCAAGTCTGTCAAAACAGGGCCCCACCCAGAGCCAGTCTATTTGCTCTGCGCACTATTATGCATTGACTAACATCTCTGTAGGATCCCTCCCTCCTCTGTTCTGCCGCTCCGCTCCTCGTGACGTAGCCGGTCCAGTTACAACCCGGCCTCTGTGCCGGGACAAGGCAGCTGTTGTCATGCGCTCGGGGATGATGTGCAGGCTGGCGAATGGCCGCCTCTCTTGTGTCCGCTCTCTGCCAACTGGGATCAATGAAGCCCTCTCTGATGAATTCAGCTGTAGATGCATGAAGATAATCAGAGAAGGAGATGAAAAACTCTTGATTTGATTAAACTCCTGCTGTGTTCTTGTCATCTGATAAGGAGTTAATGTGTCGCTATGCAAGGCATCTGGTGCAAATGTGTCTAATTTAGCAAGGCGGACACATGTCCACCCACTTTTTTATTTTTCCTTTTGTTTTTGACATTATTTAGAGCTGCAATGTTTCATCTTGTGTTGGCAGTCTGGGACTCTGAGCTCCACATGTGCAGCTGCAGAAAGCTGCAGCTCTGGTGGCTGTGGGCACGCTCTGCCTGGCAGAGTGAAACACAAACCCTCAGATTCAGTTTCCATGTCTCTGTTCTCCTTTCTGCATACAGTAACCACACATCTCTGTTCGCTCTCAGTGTTCAGTGAAACTAAAAACATACAAAAATTAGTTTTCTTCTGCATCAGAAGTTCTCCTGTGATAATGCGTTTGGTATGCAGTGTTGACTATTACACAGGCATTTCAAAGGAAACAAGCTCCACCCTGCAGCAGTGGGAGAAGCAGGGATACCGACTGGCTGGGAGGGATGGGGGGCGACCAACCCGGCTCTGACGTCTCAGCCTCCGCTTTGGCTGCAGGGCAGCAACGGGGCGGGGGCTGCTGTTCTGCTGTCGTCTGTTCCCAAACCTGGCCGTGGCTGTTAGGTTGCTGGGACACACATTTAGAGCTGGGTGCCAACTACTTAAGAAACCTTTTTTTTGGGGGGGAAGAATTAACTTTTAGCAGGATTTTAAACCTAATTCTTAAACCCAGGGCCAGCTCAAGCCTTTTTTGAGGCCTTGGGCATATTTTCATTTAAGGCCCCTTGTTGCTGACATGTAGCATACCAGCTATCTTTAGCGTCATTTGTAATTAGCCTACATAATACTGCTTTAATCATTGCTGTTGATTTTAACCTTACATGAGTAGCAAACCAAAAAATAATTTGGATTTTTGAAAGTGTGCCATATTATTTTAATTATTTGAAAGCAACATCAATAAAAAAACAAACAGAAAAAAAAACACTGAATTTACAGTAAACAAGTTAAGAAGCTTAATATCTTATATTTCCCCAACATAGGCAGTATCCAACAGCAGGAAGAGTTTTTGTCTACCAACTGTAAAAAACATAGAGCTAATTTTGTCATTATGTAATAATAGCATTTTATTACTCAATGTTGTTAGTTGTTATACCAGCTCGGTGCTCTTGGGTGCCACTTAGTGGTGTGGGGGAGCTAAGCAGCCGCTTGACTCATATATGCCTTGAGCCTGTTACAATAAGCAATCAGTTAAATGCATGAGAAATTAAAATAAGTGCAATAATTTTTATTCTAAGAGTAATTTTGTCTATTTATTTATAACTTCCATTATGTGTAGTTTTTATTTCCATTTTTAAAATTGTTTTTGGTATTGGTCTTTGACTTATCGTCAATATATTACTTAAAAATATTATCGTTTATCGCAATAATTTCTTGGACAATTTACCATGCAGGACAGTTTTGTCTTCTCGTTTCAGGTCTAACTGTACTTTTCACTTTTACTTGAGTAATTTTATTATGAAGTATCGCTTCTCTTACTGGAGTACAGTTTCTGGATACAGTATCTACTGTCAGTTATCACAAAACATAGTGATAAAGTTCATATCGCCCACAACTATCCCCACTTCATGGTGGCGTTTCACCTGACCCTGTTTCCTTTTAAATTTAAAAAACACAAGAAAGAGAAAAGAAAGAATAAGATAGAAAGATATAATATATTAAATATATACAAAATTTAAAGTTGTATAAGTTGTATTAACTAGTTACGTTTACTTGAGTAACTCTGGAAAAAATTACTTTTAGGAATATTTTTATTATTCTGTACTTTTTGCTTTTACCTGAGAGTAATTTTATTATTTATGTAGTGTCTCTACTGTTACTTGAGTATAATTTCTTTTTTTTTACCCGCTGTATGAAAACCAAACATGTTTTAACCAGAAATTCACCAGATAAAGACACACACCTGCATTTTGTGTCAAAGTTTAATATTTAAAGAAACTGATTTTGTTTATTTTGCCTGACTTTGTAACAAAAATATAAAATTATATTATTTTTGTATAAATACCAACATTTCCACTTATCTTTACATTTTGGTCTGATGATGCAATTTTTAATATTAAATGATTGATCACTTATACTTAAGTAGACTTTTTTCCAAATACGTTTTCACTCCTGAATCATTTCTTTGAAGGCTAATTTTTAGTTTTTCTTGAGTAAAAATGTGTCGAGGCATCGAGTGTAATGTTTCCCTCCCAGTCTGGGCCGTTCCCTGAGGGTCGGCTCTGATGGCACCGATCGGTCCGGGTGAGGCTTCATCGGCCCGATCGGTCCGGGTGAGGCTTCATCGGCCCGATCGGTCCGGGTGAGGCTTCATCGGCCCGATCGGTGCCCCTCTCATGTGGTCAGACTATCAGAACCTGAGCCTTACGATCCAGAGCGGTTCGCCATCAGAGTCACACAATCATGAAATAAAAGTCAACTGTGCTTAAGTCGAAGCTCCCACGTCTGTTGTTGCTGAGTTTGAAATATATTAGAGGGCAGAGTAAGTTGGGATCATAATCAAACAAGGGCTTTTTTTTTTTTTTTGTAAATGAAAAGGACATAATAAAAAAACAACATCTATTTTCAAGCCTTCATGCTCTGAGTTTGTGTAAAAGATTTACACAGTTTACATTTTAAATGGGGGCATATTATGGAAAATTCACATTTTGCATGTTTTTGTACTTAAATTCGGGTCTCAACTGCTTCTAAAAACACAGCTACTGCTTTAAATAAAGAACACTTACCCGTTTTTTGGCAATAACTTAATGCTTTTTGATGCCTCGTTACCTAGCAACCCCAGCCAACCCCAGCCCGTTACCTAGCAACCCAAGCTGAGTTCCAGAATGTTTGGTCAGCTGGGTTTACCGCTGTATGCGCTTCAAAAGACACACATTTTGTTGTTGACTTATGATCCAGAAACAACTTGCTGTATTCCTGTTGGTTGTGCAGGAGGCTCCACTTCTGCTTTTTAAATACGTACGGTTGTATAATTATTCATCTGTTTGCAGTTATTTTCATGTGCGAATGTGAACGTTGAGCTGGGGGTCGTGCCCAGCGGCAGCTTATTAGGATTTTAAGTGACAAGACCAGTAACGTTTGGTGTACTTAATAGTGCAAATATCTTAGTACACTTGAATTAAGACAAAACTGACTTACAGGTAACTTTTAAGGAAGATATAGAAGCTCGTTTTAAGTTAATAATTCCTTAATATTGATGAAAAAGTTCTAGTTCGATTGGCAGATTATTTTATTTATAACGAGACATTTTTCCATGTTAGCTTCTACATCTTTCTAAAAAGTTAGTTTGGTCTTATTTCAAATGAACTGAGATATTTGCACAATAAACTAAACCAAAGTTACTTGGTTAGATATTGTGTTTTTGCAGTGTATTCACAGTCTCTGTTTCTTCCATAAAGTTATATTTGGATTCAGGTGACAGTTTTAGTGCAACATCTGTTTTCATGAGGAAGCGTGAAGCTTTTTGGTGAAGATCTTTCACTCTATCTGCGTATTTTAAGCATGTTGTCACACAGGAATCAGAGTGATTTTATTTTATTTTTCCTGTGAAGGATGTGGTTTTGCAGCGTCAGATAAAAAAAAAAAAATAGACATAACCCAGATAAGTTTGTCTCTCCTGACCACCTCCTTAACGCTAAGCTTGTACCGGCCTCTTGTTTCTTGCCGATATCCGACTGATCTGCCATGTTTGCTGACCTTTGCCCTCCCGTGTTTTTTCTGTGTGCAGGTGTAGATGCGCCAGGCGCAGCGGGGTCTGGCCTCTGTGTCGGAGAGAGACGAGGCTCTCCAGTGAAACCTCGACTCTCTCTCACATTCAGCTCGAGCCGCGCAGCATCAGAAAACAGGAAGACACAGAGGCTATTTACTGAGGTGAAGCAGCAGCAGCAGAAAGAGGAGGAGCAGGAGGAGGAGCCATCATCACAGTGGGGACATTTCAGCCTGGTCCCCGCCCTCTGAACTCCTCTGCCATGACGACTGCAGTACAGCCCAGCGAACTGGTGTTTGAATTTTCCAACGGGATAGATGAGATGAATCAGGTATTTTCCATGAATGACTCAGCTCTTAAAGCTTTTTGAAGATTTGTTTGGAGTACAAACTTGATCATTCATCTGTTTCACCCAAAATATGTTGCTTTTTTCCACAACTTCAATGTATTTCACTGAGATTCTGGGTGACGGACCAACAGAAAGTTAGCCAGAGTCGGGCAGTAAAAGGAAAAAATGCAAGTGTTAGTTATTTACACTTTTTACCAGTGGAAAAGTTGCTACAACAAATAAAAATACAGAAGTTTTGCCCACTTTTTCGTAAAATAGTCGATAGTGTATCAACTTTCAAGTCACAGATTCTGATTTGGATTTGGGTCGAGATTTTTAACACCTGGATATGTGAATGAAATCAGTTTACCTGCCAGAAGGTGAATCTTTTTCACAGCCGTTCCCCTTTTTTAAACTGAATCCATTGTTTATTCCTTCTAGAAACAATAAAAATTAAGAAAATGTTTATTTCATAATCGTCATTTCATAATCGTTTCGGCATCATGCAGCTGACAAACAGCTGGATTAATACTGAGATTAAATTACAGACAGGTGGACTCTATTTACGAATCAGGTGTGTCTTTTGAAGGCAGTTTGTTGCACCTGATTCTAGTCTGAGTTATTAGAGTAAAGAGGGCTAAATAATAACGTACAGAGTTTTAATTGTAACTTTATTCCACTTTTCTTTGTCAGATAAAAATCCTATAAAACACACTGGAGTTTGGTTGCAATGAATCCTGTCATCATATCAAATTTTGCTGGATGATAAATTGTCCCAGAACTGATTGCGATGAATGATAATGTTGTTTTGTGACCATTTTCATGTAATATAATGTTAATAATGGCTTAATAACGCAAGGACATTTCTCAAAGATGAATAAACTTTAAGTTCTAATGAACATTTAATGCTGGAACTGGAAACATTTTAAATATTGAAAATAAATAAACAAAGCAACAAATAAAATAAAGTCTCTGTAAAACAAATTAAAGACTAGTTGAAACCAATCAGACTGAAAACTTTAGTCATCCAGTTTTTGACAGAAAGGGAGAAAACAAGTTTTTTCTTGTAAATTTGTAATTAGGCAGAAAATTACTCCTCCCTGCCCACATTTTTTTTTTTTACAACAGCCTCAACTCTGCTTGCTTTAAATTTGTCTGACTAGCCACTTCCGTTTTTAAATATTTGTAAATCATTTACAGGTCAGTTATTTAGTTGCAGTTGTAATTTACCAAAACTACTACTGCAACCTAAAAATCTTATTTTCTAGGTTTAACCAAAAATTAAACCTAAAAAATTTAAAATTTTTTGGTTTAACTAAAAGTTTTTAAATTCTGCTCTTTTTTTTTTTAGGTGCAGAATTTAAAAAGTTGAAAGTTTTTTATTGAGATGACGTTACTTTGATCTGGTAATGAATGCTCAGCAACTGATTCAGTTTTCAGTTATTGTTTTACAACCAGCTGAGTCCGGCGTTTTCTCCCAGCTTTTCCTGTCGCCATCTTGCAGACCAGCATAAGTAGCACCTTATTTTCCAGATACCTGATGTAAAACTGCTCGTCTCCATCAGTTTGAAAGGCTAACAAATAGATTCGTAAACACAAAGGATACAATATCTATAACTTCAGTGTGTTTTAGTTTTACAAGCACATGGTATCGCCCCTGTTGGTTCCTGTTTTTCCCCATTAATTGCCGTTTCTATTCATTGTTTTCGTTAGCTTTAGTTGACCAGCCTTGCTCTGGAGGGCGGCGGAGGCTGCTGGGAGCAGAAATGGAGAAACCTGCAGCGGAGTTGGGTTGAGCGTGGGCGGCAGCCGAGGTGGGGCGTCAACCTGAACGTGGTTGCAGCACAAAGGTTGCCGTTGCATTTACCTGACACACATATTAGCGCCTGTGTGTGTTGTCATTGGAGCGATGAGCTGCATCGGTTATCTCCTCCCCTCAGCAGACGCTGGATCCTGTGGAGCAGGCTTGTTTGTTAGCGAAACGAGTGTTTATGTGCGCCAGTATCTGTGTATGTTCATCTAGAGTGACAAGTTGTTACTGGATCCCTGAATAGCGCCGCGTCAGGCCCAACCTGACGGACCAGTTGTGTCGCTGCTTGGAAGAGACGCAATAATTCACCTAAAAGGTCCCACATTGTTCCACTGTGACAGTTCTGTTGTTGGCGGCGCCCACTCGGCCTGTTGTGCAAGCGCCGTAGCTCTTTTTGAGCAAGTCATGGTAAAGCATCAAAATCCACCTCTTTCAGGTGGGCTTTGGCTTTGTGACGGTTTTAAAACCACAATAAACTCATTACAGCTGAGTGAAATCACAGCTCCTGCAATGATTAGCTCTGCTATATTGGATGTGGAAGTCAATGAATAGCTTCTCCAGACTCGACATGTGACGAATTTCAGCTTCTGTCATCTTCAACTGTTCGGTTTTCATCTTATTTTCCCTGATTTTCAAAGAGATTTTCTGTTAAGTAGGGATGTAGCAAGATTTAGTAAATATTAAAATATCGTAATATTTGTGACTGAAGTAAAATCAAAGTGTTAGTTTCTCATCTGGTAGCGTTGGTTAATGTTATTGTGTTAATATGAAGGTGTGTGCTTTAGTAGCGGTTTCTGCAGGCTCTTTAGAAGTTATAAGATTAATAATCAGACCTTTAACAGTTTTAAATATGCTCATATTTTCCATAAGTCCTAAATTAATCCTTTGCTGATTTTTTAAAGTAAGTTTTCCCTCCCTCTTGTCTTTAAAAGCACCGCAGCGGCGTTTGTTTTGCTGTTTTCTGTTTTAGTTTTGGTTGAGGAATTGTTTTTTGACTTAGGCAAATTTACCAAACATGTGATCCAGTTAGCAGTCCTGTCAGCAATTTAAAGTATTCCCTCCAACAACTGAAAATACTCTCCTGTTGCGCTTCCTATGTTTGTTTATTATATAATTACAAGCTCCATTTCTCATAGACAGTAAATATTCAAACAGTGTTTCAGTTTAAAAATGTAATTTCAGTGGTTTTCTGATTACTATGCTATAAAATATCTGTTAAAGTAACATTTTCTTTCTTAACTTGCTTGATAAATAAAACTAAATATTAGGTGAGGGAATTACTGAGGTAACTTACTTTTGATTCACTTAGAGCTAAAATCTTTAAGTTAACTCGTTCTAGACTCTAATCTTGAAGTAAGAAAGAAACTATTACTTACCAACATGCTGGGAACAGTAATTGGTTTCAGAAGCATTAAATAAGTTTTCATTATCTGGCAGCATTTTGGACGCTTTAGCAAAGTGACTGATAAAACATCTGTAACTCCAGTGAGAATTTTGTGACCTAAAGAGCTTTTGCACTGTTTCCAATGACTGTGAACTTTATTTAAGGTGTTTTTGCTGCACAAACTACTGATTTTACACAGTGGGAACGTCTTATCGGGCTTTTCTTCATCAGTTATCACCGGAGCCGGTTTGGTTTTGCCTGAAGTTGGAAGCCTTGGTAATTCATAGCTGGAAATGTTTGATCCTCCTACTGGTTTATTCTGAGATTTGTGGAGGATTATAGTGCAAGGAGACAGTTTGCCTACACAAATCATAGTATGTATGTTGATATCTCTGTAAACAGATGTTTTAAAACAGAGAGTTGTTTCTAAGAGCACCTGGACTGGTGGGTTAAAATAATAAAAGCCTTTAATTCAGAGAAAATGAGCTCACTTTATTCTGATCCAAAACTGATAGTAAGCAATCACTTAACCATTGGAGCTGGTTTAGAAAGAACCACAACATGTCTGACCAAATCCAATATGGCTGCCGATAGTTTAAAGCTTTTTTTTTCTCTGTATTTTCTCAAAAAGTGAATTTTTGCATTGTAAAGCCTCAGTTTCCCAAAAACCTCGTCTTCTATTTGTGAATAAAAACAAGAACAAACAAGAAAAAAAGGAGATTGTGAGTAGAACCCAAAAGTATAGATAAAATTAAATTCTTGTTAACCCATTTTCACGTCTCATGTGTTGTATGTATTAGGTCAGCCTTAAACATCAACCGGCATTTTATTACCATCGCTGGACGTATATGTCCAAATTCAGACGCTACATCCTTTGTCTTATAAGTATATTAAAACATAATACAAACATTAAAAGCCTAATTTTCATATTGTTTTGTTAGGCTCTTTAAATAATTTCTGTACAAGAAGTTACTTAATTAAAAAGGATCAAATAGCAAGATTTCAGGCTCCATTTTTACTAGCTTGTGTTTAGCGTTGTTGTGGTTGCTAGGCGACAGGACATGCAGTGCAGTAACGGTGGGATTAAATCTGAAGACTTGACCTCCCAATGTCACAGCTGCTCGCTTTGTCCTTCATGGGCTGGAAAACCCAGTGACTGTTTTTCACATTTTCTTTGAGAATAGCTCCATGTTAGCTTGTCTTTGAGAGTGAAGCTAACAGCTAGCTTAGCAGAAGATGGAAGCTAAGCAGGATTTTATCATTTTAAAACTTACAAATCTCAAAAGCATTATAGCAGTTTATGCTAACATTTTCACGTGACCTTCTAAATCATCATCATGCTTCCTTTCATTAGCTTTCATTAGCTCTCAGAAGCTAATGATTCTTTGCACGGGAAAAGTAGCTAGGAAATGTAGCAATCATATTAAATGCTAACATTTTAGCATTTCAAACTTTTTCAAAAATCATTCAGTTTAAGTAAAAAAAAGTAACGTTTTTTTTAAGACTGTACATGCCCTGTATGATCTCGATCTCTTAACTGCTAGCTTTAGCCTCCGGGACCAGCTGGAGAGTTTACAAAATGTTCTGATTTTTGAGAATGGGCGGCTCCAGAACTGCTCCAAATTTCACAATGAGGACATTGAAAGCTTCAGGCAGTTGAAATCCATTGTGTCGGGGCAGGTAAAGCAGAAGAGAGAGGGGTGTGGGGAGGGAAACGGCCTGCTCAGATGCTGCTGCTTTCAAAGGCAAAATGGGGAACTCAGAAATGCAAATCGGCCTGATGTTTATCACTGCTGTTCCCTCTACTAGAAACAGCATTCAGGCCATTAAAGAGGAAGGAGCAGCTAAAATGTGAATTATGTTCAGCACAAACCATTTTAGCCGAAACCTTTGTGCTTTCTTCATGTCTTTTCAAACTGGTGAGGCCAGAGATGCAACAGGAAAGGAAAACATTTAGGATCAAAACAACGTGCAGAGACAGCAGCTCTACACGTCTTCATGCTCCGTCAGCAAAATGTTGTGGGATTTTGACGGGAGGAGGTGGTAGATGAGCTGCTGTCTCTGGACCAGTAGGCAAAACACGTCTTTATCTCGCTCAAGGACAGAAAACATGAGTTAAGTCAGCCCAGGAAAATGTGGCAGCCTCAACGTCTGGCTATGATGGAGACAAAGATTCCCATTAATGGAAAACATTTCAGATCCAAACTGCAGTCAGAGCAAAAACATGCTTGTTTTTAATCCTCCAAGTTATGGTTGACGTCATTATTTTTTTTACAGTAACTATTAAAAATCAATGGTGAAATACCTGCTAAACATTTGAAACCGCTAACAATGAGCCGGTCTGTTAGCTTCCTGGTTAACCAGTAGCAGAAATGAGTGTACAGGCATGCAGTGGGATGCCACCATTCCCGCCTCCTCCCTCAGCTCAAGGCTGGACACCTGGTCTGCCCCCGAGGTCCCAGCCAACAATGAACACTTTTGTAAAAAGACACAGATACGCCTTTATTCCCACAGCTCCTACAGCACCTTTTTTGTCTGTGTGTCTCTCTTAAACCCACCCATCACTGCAGGAATGTTGCTTTTTATTGATCTTCACTGAGTGGCTGAAAATGTAAGAAAGAAAAATCACATCTATGTAAGCTAGAAGAACAGATGCTACTTCACAGTTTTCTGTGTTTAAAGCGAGAGCTTTCGGTCCAGTGATCTCTTAAAAATCAGTTTGTGCTTGGCCATATGGGTGGGATTATTTTATTCTTAATACTTTTTTCACGCTGAATAAAAACAAAGAAGTTGGTATTCAAACTGAAAAGGAACAATTTCAGCTGAGATTTAAAGTGTACTCTGCTGCCATCTGCTGGGCGTTTTTGGCTCATTTCTCAGATTAGCTTTTCCTTTACATCTACAAAATATGTTTATATTAAAATAATTTTATCCCCAGAAACATTAGACAGAAAAAATTAAACCAACACAAACGAACAAAAAGCCTAAAAGATTAAATAATAAACTAAGAAAACAAATGGAAATAAGACAAAAATTCTGACTAAAATGGTTTATACCTTAAACTCAAAGAAATAATAAAATTATTCTATAAAATATTTGCTAAAGTTTGTCAATAAGTAAAAAAATGGACACAAATAATAGAGTACCTGTTTAAGCCATTGGCAGATAATCTTAAAGTTTTAAATAATAAGTAATAAGTAAATAGTCAAATACATAACTAAATGAACATAAATGGTTAAATGAAAAAGTAAAAGTACTTCCATTGTGAGCAAGACAGTTTATATCTAAAAAAATACATATAATACTTGCTAAACTTGTCAATAAATAAAGATAAAATAGACATAGATAATAGTTCTTATTAAAACCATTAACAGCTAAATTTAAAATAGTTTTAAACATTAATAATATGCAATAAATAAGTAAATAACCAAATGCATAGCTACATAAATGTAAATACTCAAATGAAGAATAAAATATTCTGTGAAGTATGCCTGCTGCAGTAAAACAATTAATTATTGAGATCCATTAAAATGATCTCAATAATGTACATTCTGATGATTAATATTTTTTGAAAGACAATTATTTTGCTCAGACAGAGACTTCGTAATCCGCTTTATTTATTTATTCTTTGTGTTATGTTTTGTTTTTGGTTGTCATGTTTCAAGTTGGATATTTAAAATATGTTCTAGGTCCAGTGTTGGACTAAACTAAATAAAAGTTTTCTAAACTTTTCTTTAGAAAATTTAAGTTTATTAATATTCAAGAGGGCAATTACCGATATATTACTAGAAAATGGTTTAAAAACAACAGTATTATTGTTTATTGTGATAATTTCAGGGACAATTTATCGTCCAGCAAAATATATTATGACAGGGCTAGTTGCGACTAGTAATAATAATAATAATAATAATAATAATAATAATTCAGTTTATAATATTATCTTTTCGTGCTCTTCAAAGCACATCTTTCACATTTGGAGCAGAACATGACTCCCTTAATTAAAGAATGGAGTTACTTTGCCCTCACCAACCAGCCACCCGGTGGCTGCCCGGCTTGACACGATCCCCGCTGGAGGAGCTCTCAGACGGTGCTTGTCTCCGCAGATGTAGCTCTACGGTTCGGCCCACCCTCTGCCAATTCCCCCAGTCCCTCCACTCCTCCGTGCATCAGGCCTCGCTAAGCCCGAAATGAGACGGCGAGGTTAGAATTCCCAGAGCGTGATGAAGAAGGTGCTCGCCTGCAATTCATATCTGATTCATTAACATTCATTTGGGTTTATATAATTTCTGGGCATAAGATTAGGTTCTCAGGAGAAGTAGGCCAGATCAGACAGCTGGTTCCCGTCTTCTTCACAACGTCCCAGCGGGCCGCTGCAACACCACAGAAATGAGCTCTCTTCCATGCTGCGTGCCTCCACATTAGTTCAGGCTGAGTATGAATCCACAATGTCTTACAACGCAATAAAAGAGGCCAGATTGGTTTAGAACTAGGGATCCAAACAATTAGTTGAAGATTAATTCCCGATTAATGGTTTATTGGATTAAAATGAGCTCAAATCGATTAAGTTTAGACCTTCTTTAATGGTGTAGTTTGGCCTCCATCCAGCAGGGGACGCCACTGGTCATCCTTAAGCAGAGCCGTTGGTACGAAAGCAAAGATGGCGGAGCTACACCAGAACGAGGATGATAAACGGTCAAAACAGAGTCCGTTCTGGGGCTTAAAAACAACAACAACAACAACAACAAAAACACTTTTGCGGTTCTGTTTTGAAATATAAACAGTCGACAGTCTTTAATTTTCACTTTAAAAGCGCTCATATAGGCGAGCTACATTACGGAGCAACGTCAACTTCTTTTTCAAAATATACTTGCTAATTGCTGAAAATGATGTGCTACGAAGGTGAGCTAACCCAGAAACATGATTTCAATAAACCCGGTTGATTTTTAGGACTGTCATGGTGCAACGTTTTAATATTCTTTTAAGAGCAACCACATACATTACTTTTATATGAAAATCTCTCTAAGGATGAATTAATGTTTCCAGTATTTTATTTCTTATTTTTTTTACATTTCTATTCAGCATCCTAAGAGGTTCCTGTTTTGTTATATTTTATAAATATTTCTAAATTTAATAATGTGGGGAAAACCACATTTTTTTCATTATTCAGTCAGTATTTAATAGAAATGATACAAAATAATGAAGTTTTTTTTCCAGTTTATGAAGAAGTTAGCCCTATGAAGTAATTAATAACTTGCATCCCTAGTTAGAACATTAAACCGATGTTATGTTTAATTAATAATGCATAGTGAAGGAATTACTGTATGTTTTTAATCTTTTAATTCACATGCATGGCTGCAGAATCTCCTGTGTTATAATTCCTCATGTCTCATGCACACGTGTGTTTTTCTCTGCGCAGTTGGACGACCCGTCAGTATTCCCAGCCGTGATCGTCGAGCAGGTGCCCACCACCGACCTGCTGCAGGTCTACTCGGGCCTCGAGTCGGACGAGGTGACTAACGGCATCATGGTGGACACGAGTCTCAGCGTGGTGGAGGGACCGTCCATCCTTTCAGAAGGAGTGGACCTCTCAGGTAAAGACACCACACTTTGGAAACATTTCACATAGACTGAGATGAATTTCGTAATTTGCAGGTTTTTATTTTGCTGTTTTCCTACTTCATGTTGTAAGTCAGGTTCTACTTCACTGGTCTCTTAAATCTACATGTCTAGCATTTATCAGGCCTGCGTATGAGTTGGAAAACTGAAGAATTCTTCTGTGATTAATCACATTTTATTCATAATGTAACAAGGTTGTTTTGGTTGTGGTACCTTATTTCACTCAATACATTAAATCATAATTTGAAAATGTTCATTTGTATTTAATTGGGTTATTTTTCAGTGATATTAAACTATATTTGATCATCATTGATGAAACACTTCAGTTTGAAAACTAGAGAAAATCTGAGACAGGTTGAACTTTTTCACAACTCTATATAAAAGTGTCTAGATTTTCTGCGTTCAACACTATTACTGGAACTAATCTGACACAATTATATCTAAGCCTGTTGCAGTTTTAATTTAATTAAAATTACTCAATAATTTCTATTCTAATGACTAATATATTTATATATTTTAAATTAAAATTTTGTTTACAGACTTTGTAATCCGTCTTATTTATTGCTTTTGGTTGTCATGTTTTATTTTGGAAGTTTAAAAAATCTTCCATTTCCTGTGTTATATACAAAAATGAAAGTTTGTTTATTGAGAGGGAGAACGTGCATTATTTTGCCATAATTACTTGAAATAAAAAAGATATTAAAACAGCAGTATTCTAATTTACTGCAATAATTATTGGGGCAATTTATTGTCCAGAAAAAAATTTGTATTGTGACAGACTTATTTATTTCACATGGAGCTTCCAGTTATGTTGCCAACATGTTACTTTGATGCCTTTTTGTCTTTTGATGGACAGAAACGAGAGTTTCCCGAGCCGATGACAGCATGGAGACAAACGAAGCTGCAGCGGCTCTGCTGAACATGGAGTCTCCAAATAATATTTTGGATGAGAAGCGAATGAGTGAGTTCATTTGTGTTTATTTTAGGGCTGTAATGATTCATTGAATGATTCGAGTCCCTCAAGCCTTGAAATAGAAGTTATCGAAGCTTTGCTAGATTATGTTTTACTGTTTAGTGCCATTTGTTCTGGCCGGATAATTATTTGTGTTGCACTACGCTCTCACTTTCACCATTGAGCTGTTGATGAATGCTAAGAGCTATTAGCAGCTATGGAGGAAGATGCGTTGTCAAGTAAGGGACACCTCACTGCGTGTGTTGCAAAACTAAATGGGCGTTTCACAATAGCGATGCTGCAACACCAGAAACAGAGTTTAGATCGGTCCTAAACAAAAAAACCCAACCTGACAACTGCCACAATGAGCTATGTTGCTAGCACTTAGCACTTAGCAACAACTCAGAGGCCAAAAGTGAGAGTGTTGCGCAACATAATCAATCACCCGGCCAGAACATGGCTCGCTAAATAACAAAACATAATTTAACGAAGCTTTGAGGCAGATAATTTTAACAATTGAATCATCAGGAATCGTTTCAGCTCTTCGTAGCGCAACTTTCCCCTGTTTTAGCTCCTGTTTATTATCTTCCAGCTCTGTTTTGTTGTTTGCTAATCAAGAAGAGTAAAGATGGGGAGAGAAAAAGATAATTAGAAATATAAATTTTATAAAAAAATCTTTTTTTTTACTTCGAATATCAGACTGAAAGTAATGTTCAATAATTTTTAAAAAAGGAACTTAATTGTTTATTTACTAGCATAGATTTCTTTTGCTATCTTAAGTAGCTACTAGAGAAGACGATTAATTACTCAATCATCTGTAGATTACTTGACTACTAAATTAGTCTACAGCAACCTTAATTTATTTCTCTGCTTTATGTAAAACAAGGTGTAATTCTTGTACATTGTTGCTGTTTGTGCAGTTCACACCTACAACCATCTGCTGGAGTCAGAGATGACGTACGCTCCACTCAGGGTGGACCAAATGGACAACGTTGCCCTTGACATGTCTCTGGACGAAGACACATCATCCATGGATGAGATTTCTCATAAGATTCCCTTAAAACCTCAGAAAAAAACCAAAGGTAACACCTTTTTTCTCTAGTTAAGTAATAATTTGTTGCAACAGTTTAGAGTAGAAGGTGATTACATGATTTTGTTGTGACCTTTGACCTTCTAACATGCTGCTTCTCACGTTGAATCAGTGCGAAAGCCCCGGGTGGTGCGTCCCTGCTCTCCAATCACAACCCCTAACTTGCCACTCAGGAAGAAGAGCAAAGAGGGCAAAGGTAAGCCTCACCAACTAGTCCACTTTTCTGTAACGAGCCAATAAAAATCAAGGTCTCTCCTCCTCTTGTGATGGCTCCGATTCCTCCTGTGGAGCGGGCGACCAGCTGCCCTCGGCCCCTGCAGTCCATCTGGGTTGAATCTGAGCGAGTTAATGGATGAGGGGATCGGGTGGTGTTGTGTTTCTCGGGGAAACAGGAGTGATTGCATGCTGGAGGGCACGCTGATGCTTTACTGATAGATGCAGGGGCAGCGCCGCTTTGTTTGGGCCGTCCACAACGACACAAAAGGGGGGAAGGGGCTTGGGACGTCTGGTTCAGCCGCACACGAATGCATCACTCTGTCACATAGTCGGGGATTCAGGTGACTTCTGGGAGTGCTGCTGTTTTTAAACGCTGCCGGCCGCTGACGTCTGGCAAATTAGAGGAATCTACATCTGAGCTTTATAATTAATTACCTTCCCAGGCCCACATGCAGACAAATCCCTGTCACAACAATAACAGGAAGAAAAGATAATAATGCAACTCTGTGGTTTCTATATACAAATCAGATAAATTAGGGCTGAAGCAATTAATCGGTTTAGTCGTGAAATAATCATGAACTACTCTGCAGAAACACAAAGTATTTTTGGTTTAGTTTCTAGTTCAGATATCTTAGTGCACTTAAAAAAAGACTAAGCTAATTTATAAGTAACTTTTCAGAAAGACGCAAGAGATTATATTGATGAAAAATCACTATTTCCACTGGTACATAAGTGAAATAAACTTGATGCTTTTTCATCAATATTAAGAAATTATTGACATAAAACGTGTTTCTTGCTGAAAAGTTACTGTAAGTCAGTTTTCTCTTATTTCAAGGTATTAAGACATTTGCACTAGAAATACTTGGTGAGATTTTGTTTTTGCAGTGCAAAGATCAGTAATCAGTAATTACCAATCGCTGTGATTACTGATAATTGAAGAAATAATGAACAGATCAACCCTTCACTGAATTGATAAGTCAAACTGAAAGGAAATATTTTTTCGCTCCAGATTCATCCTTTCAAATAAGAATAATCAGGCATGCACTGAAGAAATGCTGTTATTGTATTTATGCAATAAAATATTTATGTTCTCATTTAAAAAATGAATTGGAGTATTTATTTATTTGCATATTTTAATATGTTACAGTATATATGCTCTCTTTTTTTGTTTTGTTTATCCTTATGCAGTTATATTGACATGTAAACAGGTTTATGAATTCATATTCCAAATTTTTTTAAAGACAAAAAACAAATTTGATCACAAAAAAGCAAACAATCTGCAGAATGTTTTTATTTGATTAATTGTCTAAATCACATGTATCAAACTGAAGGCCAAAACTGGCCCACTGTAGTTTTTTATGTTGCCCTCTAATATTTAGCATATTTGCAAATATGCAAAATTCACATAAAATCAACAATTTTACTGCAATTTTTTTTTAATTGGTCAAAATCAAGTGACTTCTACCTCAGCTTTACTTGATGTCAAGTTATAATGTGTGATCGATAAGATGATTAATTAAAAGTCACATTTAACGTAAATTATATCAAATATCGTAAAAATTTCTAACAATTATTTGTAAATTAGCACCACAAAATCTGTGATTCTGATTGCAAAAAAACACAAAAACAATCACAAAATCCTGGAGGGACTGATTAGGGTGGAAAGATGTTCAATATTATTTAATTTTAAGAATCACCTATTGAATGGTGAAGAAGCTATTTATTGATATTTTATCAGTTTATCAATACATTCTGGCACAACCGGCCCTTTAAGAACATTCAGATCTTTGATATCGCCAAAATGAAAATGAGTTTGACGCCCCTGATCTAAATAAAGGACAGAATAAACACCAGTACTGATTGAAATCTGTGCATGTTGTAACCATGGACTGAAATTAGCCTCCTTAATTTGCAGGCAACACCATCTACCTGTGGGAATTCCTCCTGGCTTTGCTGCAGGATAAAAACACCTGTCCCAAATACATCAAGTGGACGCAGCGTGAAAAAGGCATCTTTAAGCTGGTGGACTCCAAGGCTGTTTCAAAGCTTTGGGGCAAGCACAAAAACAAGCCCGACATGAACTATGAGACCATGGGGAGGGCTCTCAGGTGAGCGCAGAATACCAATGAGCCACGTCTGCCAATGTGACATTATCATGCACACCAGCTCTCATCCAGCATTTAACCTTGAAGACACCATTTCCACTGATATGTTCTTATTAACACTCTGGAACGGCGGCTTAAATTTTTATGAGAGTCGTTAAACTTTAATCGTGATAATGTCAATAATTGGTTGAACGGACTCTCGCCTACTTCCTCCCCCAGGTACTACTATCAGAGAGGCATCCTCGCCAAAGTGGAGGGGCAGCGGCTGGTCTACCAGTTCAAAGAGATGCCCTCCGACCTGGTGGTGATCGACGACGAGGAGGTGGGGTCTGACGCCAACGCTGGCTACGAGAGCCAGAGGGCCTCCAACGGGCGGGGCGTGGTCCGCGGGGGGTCCAAAGGCCACGGCAGGGCGCAGCACGTGTCTCTGAAGCCGATGAAGAAAGAGCCCAGAGATGAATGTCTGTACCGGGAGGCGGACGGAGGACAGGCGGAGCAGCTGCTCCATGTTTTACAGGAGAACCAGGCGCACGGCGTTCAGGACGCGGCGCACGCCGTCAGGTAGGAGAGCCGCGCACTGACCGGACACACAGGCCCGGGTCAATAATCAATAAATCAGTTAATCACTGGATGAATTAAAACAAGCTCAGTCATTTCCATTGGCATCATTTATCGTTTTTCTACCAAAACAGGATGATAAAAGTCTTCAGTCTGGTGTTTTGGTCGCAACTAAACCTTTATTTTGAAGGACAGTTTAGCTTTCAGAGAATTTATAATTAATTTTATTTGTTGTTTTGTTTATTTATTTTTAAATTGTTTAAACCACAGTGGAAGAAGTGAACTTTGGACGAACCAATTAAAATTTATTCCAAATAAAAACTCCTGCTCAGTTCACTTGTTTTAATTTTTTAACTCAGTTAATCGTAGTTTTGTCATTTCTGTTTCAAGCGGCTTTGCTTTCTCTCTCTGTGGTTTTAACGTTCAGTTCGTTTTGTGTTGGTTTGTTTGGACTCCACTGCCTGCATCATGAATGCTTCATCTTTCCTGTGATAATTTGCAGGCTGGAAAAGCTCAGCAGTTGGGAAACTGAGAACAGAATAATTTATATTATTCTTATTCGTTACAGTAGTGATGAGGACAGGACTTCCTGTGATACACTGGCTGTATTTCTCAGTAGGGTTTAATAAAAATAAATATAAATATCCATGTTTCCAAAGATATAGGCTGAATATTCATCTTGGTTATTCATCAGGCTTTTTATTTTAATTTTAAAAGTGGATAAAAGGCTCAGAGTAAGTAGATGAAAGATGATTTAAAATGTCTTATTTCAGGGGCACAGCTTCAGTCAAATTTACTATCCGGTTGTGAATTGAATAATCTAAAAACTAAAGAACAGATAAACTTTTCACTGTATTGATTAGTCAGGTATTTTTTTAGCTGCATCCTTTGCTGTCAGATTTTAAAGGTTGTCCTGATATTTTTCATGGCTGTAGAGGGAAAAACCCAGATAAAAACTGAGTTTTAATCATTTTGTCTCCTCAGGACCATCAGCAGCCCCGTGTCGTTACCGATGGTTCTGACCTCCTCCGGCGCCCTCCAGTCGGTTCCCCTCACCGTTCTGGCTAACGGCGACTCCAGCCACTCCTCGCCTCCTCGGGTCATCCTCCACACTGTTCCCTCCGCCGCCGCGGGGGGCAAAGACGTGCTCACCATCCAGACGGCGTCTCTCGCCGGCGGTGCCGGCGGCCTCCAGGACGGCCTCCCGCAGCAGCTCCTGGTCACCAATCTGGGCTCTTCCACCATTTCCTCCTCCTCGGTCTCCTCCTGCTCCTCCCCTCCGGGAGTCATCAGCTCCGCCGGCTCGGGTCTCAACGGCCTGCCCCGCCTCGTCACCATCAACACCAGCGGCGGGCACGCCATGGTGGCGCAGCAGCCGGGCACCGTCATCGCCACGGTGCTGAAGTCCAGCGATCTGTCGGCGCTGCAGGTCAAGGAGGAGATGCTGGACTCCAGCTACTTCCAGTCGATGGTGAACGGCGACCCGTCGCTGGCGGCGCACACATTCGACAAGGAGGAGATGGAGGCCGGCGAGGCGGAGCTGCAGTACAGGACTGTGATCATCGATACCAGTCAAAGCCAAGCCCAGGCGCCGGCGAGCGAACCTTTAATGAACGGACGTTACTCCCAGAGCAGCAGCCCCGGCGAGGGCTTGACCCCGGTGGAGGAGCTGGAGGTGCGCGGGGAAATGTCTCTGCAGCCGGAGCCGGGGGTCAAAACCCTGCAGGAGCTGCCGCTCTCCGTCCAGCTGCCTGCAAACTTTATCCAGATAAAAAGTGAGCCTGCAGAGGCTTAGGGCCGCAGAACTCTTTCAAAACACACAAAGAAATCGAAATTATTTTGACCACAGACTCGATATTTTCCTTTTCCAACCACAACGGTCTGATTCCAACATCAGAAGTGAGTGAACTTGCAGCATGTTGCTCTTAAAAGTCAGTCAGTTCAGCCTCAGGATTTATTGTTTACTCACATGTTATGTGACCATGTGCCTAATTTCAAAAAAATCTAGGGAGCGATTAGCGTTTTGTTCTTTTTTAAGAAGTTAGCTTTCACAACAAGGATTATTCCGTGTAGATAAAAAAAAAATCCAAACGTGGGATCAATGTCTACGATGAAAAATGTGCCAGTCAAGTTTTTGTTTTTATTTTCTAACGTTTGCATCTCATCGGACTAACGCTGTCAGAGGACAACAAACCAAAAACCAGGACTGAATGCCAAACGGTGCAACAAGAAGGGACGCCTGAAGCAGTTTAAGTAGAGAGTGCCTTATGAGATGTTTGCAGAAAGAATTACTGTTTATTTTAAAGACAAGGAAGTTGATATTCATTTATTTTGAAACAGACAGAGTAGGTGTGCATCTACTCTCTGTCAGCCCTGAATTAAAACACTGTTAACATGAAAAAGGGCATTTTTCTGTGTGGAGCTGCAGACCGGAGGGCACAGCAAGAAAAGCAGAATAAAAGTGATTTATTTCCATTTCTCCCTCTGATGCTCCACGGTTTAAGTCCTGTTTATGTAAAACAATATATATATGAATTTATAAATAAATATATATACTGTATGTAGACGTATAATATGCAATTGAGATTCAATTTTAAGGCCACAACAAATTTATTTATTTTATTAATTCCTAAATTCTGTAAAGAAAAGGCACATTCGTTTTATTTTTACGTGTAAACCTGAGGGAAGATGAAAACGAAGATACAGGAAGCCTAACTGGCTTTTTTTTTTCTTTTTGTATAGCTTTCGATATAATCAGCTTTGTTTAGTTTTTTTTTTAAATTTCTGGTCTTAAATGCTCAGCGCGGCATCATTATTCTGCTGCTGTGAATATCTGTTAAACATTTACTGAATGAGCTTTTTGTTCCCTCTTTTCAGCGGATATACCTCTCTCCTTTTTCCAACAGTCGAGGCTGTGCTTTCAGAACTATTGGATTTTATATTACACAGAGTATCAAGTGTATCAGTCAATACTGATTTTCTGCTTAGAATCTAAAGTTTCTACATTTGTTAGGAACAATAAAACCCGACTTATTTCTCCCCTTTTTTTGTGTCTCTGGTCAGAGGAAGTTTGTGCCTTCTTATTGTTTTTCTGTCCTGTTTGGTTAAGAACTCCCTTGTTTCTGTTGGGGATGAAGCCATATTGATCCCGAGTCGCGTCGCGGCCCAATGGGCTGTTTTTTCCGGGTCGGGCCGAGCCGCCGAGCGAGGGAAACTCGGACTACCTGACCTCCATAGTCTGCTTTACAAACTCACCAGAGCCAAAGAGGTCCACATCCTGCAGGCACTCTGAATGTAAAACATGCTGGCACAAAAATGTTTTGACAATCAACAAATACACTGGGTTATATTTGCATTAAAATCTGACTTTCTGTTAGGATTATCTTCATATGTATTCTTATATCCTGTCTTTTTATTTTTTCCTAAAGCACTGTGGTCTGTGAATTGTTGAGGTATGTCCACTGCATTTTGTTTTGTTGCTTCTGTTGTCTTGGGTTGTCAATGGCCTCCTTTTATGCTGAACTTAGACTAGATTTCTAAGAAAAAGTCAATATGCTAATTAAAAAGAAAATCTCCTCTCTACATTATTTGCTGCTGTTTTATTTTCTGCAAGAGAATGTCACTGAAACAGGATGTAACTTTAATAAAAACTATATTTTCTATTTATATACGAAACTAGCTGCATTTCCAACAAATGCATAATTGCACAATTTGACATATTGAAAATAAATTTGCTTAATGAAAATGTTCGCATAAAAAAACGTGTAATTTTCATGTTATGGCTTTTCGGTCTTATCAATAGTTTTATTTTATTTTTTTTAAATAGCAAAATATTGACGTTTTGTGAAAATTTGCAATAGAAATGCAGCTACTGTCATATATGACGATCTGAAAAAAATGGAGCTCCTCTACTTCTCAGCGCTAACCAGAAACAACCAATCAGAGGCAAGGGCCGGGTCTTGACATTATCAATCAAAATCTCATGTGGGCAGCGGCTAGTACAGCATGTTGTGAATGCTAAAGCTAGTTAGCATGACGGCAGATAAACGGTTTTCTCGAGGAGAAACGAGGGTAAGTTGTTTCTCCCCCATTAGCTCATTTAGCGGTGATTACGTGGGTTTGACAGAGAAAAGACTGGCTTCCTGGCTCTGATTGGCTGGTTTTGAACGGGAGCGGCGCATTTCCTAAGACAGCAGCAGTAGTAGCTCAGTTTTCACACGTCTCATAACAAAGTGTAACGACACGGTGACATTTTCAATAATATGTAACAAACAAAAACCCGCTGTTTATAAAAGTTACTGCAGCTTTAACCTCGGATACAACAAATAGCGGTTAGCTAGTCCATCGGTTTCCACTGTCGACATAATGAAACCGTTTCTGCCGTGAAAACTCAGTGGTGCTGTCGGGCCGCTGCAGCTTCGGGGGACATTTGATCGCATGGCATTTAAAAGAGAAAGTAAAAGCTGCTGTAGGAAACTGGATTGGAGCCATTAGCAGTCCGGAGACTGATTGGACTGTACTTAAGAGCACTGCTGCTTCTCCAGTTGCTGTGGGTGGTTGAATACATTAGCATGTGACATGCCCGCAGCTGAAGACAGCCGCGTCTGTCAGCACAGCTTGCATAGTGAAATGAGACGGTGTGTGTGTGCGTGTGCTAAGTCTCTGTTTGGTGAAAGAAAAGGTTACACGGATTCTTTTGCAGCATGTTAATGTGTTTATGTGTGTGAAAGTGTCCATGGCTGTTTTGGCTTTCCCGTCTCAGGTTCTGACCTGCCTGGGTCTATTGTGGCTGATTTCCCTTTAAGAGGTTTAGTCTAAGAATAGACAAATAAAACAAATAGAACACACACATTTGAAACATGATTTTTTTTTTTTCCCTCAAAATGTCTTTATGTTGAACTCGATTAAATGCTTACAGAAGGCTCAGAGCCAATTTCCATGAACCATAACATTGCGAAAACTGAAATTACAAAAATAAATTCACTAAAAGGAAACAATCCAATTTGGAAAAAAAAAAAAAAATTACGTCAGTATGAGTCACGTGACCAACTGGCGAAAACGACGAAGAAGACGACAAGAAGTAGCGGGAGGATGTTTGTTTTCGGACAATGTGCTTCTTACTCCATCACAGCTCTCACAGCATATCGTTTATAAAAAAAATAATTCAAACGTGTTGAATCCACAGCTCCTAAATGTGGTTCTAACCCCGGTACCTCTGATTTGTTTGAACGTGACCCGGTCGCATTCATGGAACCTGGACGTCATTGATACTCGACAAACGTCACTATTATGCGTCCTGACACGCGCAAGCGGGGAGAAAAACAACAACTATAGCGGATTTTGCTGAGGATTAAGTTGTTAATGTGCTGTGGTTGGATAACAACTTTAAAATCATAAGCTGTGCTCCACCATTAGCATCCATGTTTACTTCCGCATACAGTGAGCGCTTCTTTTTCTTTTTCCTTCTTCTTTTTTATGGCTGTTGGCAAAACACGTTACTGCGCCCTCTACTGCGCATGCGGGACACATATTTGTTTGCGGTTCACACTGGAGATCCCATATATTTGGAAATGTGAACTACATTCAGATTTCACAAAAAAGTCGGAGTTGAGCATTAAAGCCTGCAGTGAACGCAGCCATATTGTCATGAGATGGTGACAATTTTAACAAATATGTAAAAAGAAAAAAAAAAACTGCAGATTTACTCATTTGATTTATATGATTTCAATTTGCGCAATCTTACTGTTAATGGAAACTTGACACATTTCAGCAACAAATTGCTTTACATCGTAAAAACACAAAACATACAAAGCAATAGTACTCTCACAGTCAACAACTGAAGCATTATATTTGGTTTCTAGTGTAACCTGCTCACCATTAGATATGATCATAGAGAGTTTTGAGTTTAGTCAGTTTCAATAAAACCCTCGTTAGTCCAGCAAACATCTTCCTAAGTATTTCCACAGACGAGGCATTGATTTGGCTCATTGTCTCAATTCCCCCCTTTTGTTCTGGAGGATTACTGCAACAATGAAAGGCAACCAGCAGCCGCTGTGTCTGTGAGTCAGAGACCCTGAAGATGGAGCAGGAGAGCCAGGTCCTGGAAGAGGAGGACTATTTCTGTGTCGCCTGCAGCCACTGACACAGCGCGAGTGTTTACTGCTGTGCCATGCTGCCTCTCACAGTGGGAGCGGCTGAAGGATGACGACTGACATTATTGTGCCTCCAGCCTGAAGCAGGAACGGCACACGGAGAGCTTATTTAACCATCAGGTCACCAGACTGACTGCAGAGAAAGGCTCTCTGAGTTAACTTGGTTTAGGTTATTCAGAGGAATTTAGGCTTGTCTCACAGAAACGAGGAAAAATTTAATTTAAAGGTAGTAAAAATAGGAAGACAGAGCAGTAAAAATAGAGAAATACATCCTTCTTTTTTTATATATCTTAGAGCAGTTTAACTTCCCGTCCACAAGATGGCAGTAGTGATACACGTGTCGGACCGGAGAAAGCCGTTCCTTCAGGTCACTAATCTAAATACAGATACTCCTCATACATTCGGGTTTTCACTAGCAACTCGCACATCCAAACAAACGAGGGATTATTTGAAATGAAAATAAGCAGCTGGAAGTGAAGTCTTTCCTGCATTCCTGATAAATAACAAAAAGCGTTAGTTCAGTGGAAAGCTTCAGTGAAAGTGTCCAATCCTCTGGCCAGGTACAGAGAAGAGGGAGGGGAGGGATCCTTTGAACTGTGATAACCTGGTAAATGCTTGGTATTTGTGTTTATCCTGCTGAGCAGTCACTCTTTTCCCCTCCCTCATCAAAACAGCGATAAACAAGTGCTGCAGGGGGTGTTCCTATACGAAATGCATGAGGAAAACAGAGCAGGACTTTATTAGAAATGACACATTCTTTAATTTTCATCTGTGAGGGAGGAGTTCGCTGTCACAGAGCGCGCCTCATGTCTGATGCTGACAGTGTTCAGGCACTTTGTACGGCGCCAGAATGCACACCAACTTCCATTTTGAGATATAAAAAAGCTTCAGTGAAAACAAGATGTTTGAATTTCAGACAGATTTTTTTTTTTTTTTTCAGAAATGAGCTTTAAGTGTTTGTTCTTGTTATGTTTGTTGCATGTCAGTTCAGCCACCTCAGATTTTGTATCTTGTTGACTTTTTTTATTTATTTATAGTGGATGATGCTTAATGAGCCATTGGAGAATTATTTATCAAGTTGCAGCAGCTTTTACAGAAACTGGGTCAGATTCCAAATTTCTGCCTGAATTATTGAGCAACTCTAAGGGTAAAAACTGCTAGACGCAAACGTTTCTCCATCAGCTTTTACCTTGGAGGGATGTCTTCTGAAAAATTAGTAGAAAACAAAAACGTGTGGATCAGGGCAGTTAAAAGTTGGTTGAACTGAGGCAGTGTAATTTAGATGTGTGTGAATTTCACAAAAAATCATCCAAATGGAGTGAATGTACCAAAAATCACAGTTCTGAGGCACACAGATGTGTGCAACGGCGCATTATGCCAATTGCAGATTAAAAAGGAGAATATTTCTCTTCAAAACTCAGAAATTCTAAGATTGATTCTAGAAAATGTCAAAGCAAGAACATTTCTGAGCTCCAAAATCAAAAATTAGCTTGAAAAAAAACTCAGCAATCAAAAAATTAGACTTTTGAAACTCAGAAATGTTGCAAAATTTCTGAAATTAAGCTAAAAATTTCAAAATTTCAAAATTGACTTTTCTCCTAACTTGGAAATTTCTGAGTTACAAAAGTAAAAGATTTTCAACTTTTCAAACTCTGGAATGTCCAAATCTCTTCCAGAAAATTTCTGAGATCTCAAAATGTCTTGAGCTTTTCTATCAATTTTTTGACTTTTCAAACTCGGACAGCTCCAAGGTTTTTTTCTAGAAAATATTTGCTTTCCAAACTTTGACATTTCCAAGCTTTTGAGATGAATCTAAAAGTTCTGAGTTTTTTAATCACACATTTTAGACTTTTGGAGCTCAGAAATGTTGTTTCTGAGATTAAGCTGAAAATGTCTGATTTTTTTTTCGGCCTTTCAAACTCAGGATTTTCCCGTTTTTATGTAGAAAACTTCTGAGATCTAAAATGCTTTTTGACTTAAATTTACTCCTCATCTGTTTTCCTACGGCGGCCCTGACGCGCCGTCCCAGTCCACGGTAAAGGATCTTTCTCCTTCCGCTCCATCAGCAGCTGAATCTTTTTAATCGTCTGTAAAGTTTGGCCTTGGTGGTCGGCTGCGGGTTCTGGACCAGCCTCTCCGGTTGGGGGAACCGTCCCAATCGGACCCGCTCTCATCTTCACAGAAAGAGTTTGAAAAACCGTCACTGCCTGATCGACAACCAACAGAAACCTATAAAAATAGCATTTAGTTGCACTTTTCCCCGTCAATGTGAGTAAATAAAGTATCTTTGATGTGATAAACGGGGAAAATAGTGAGGAACGTATTCTCTTAACTCTGATTTTATCAACTTTTCAGAAACGCCTCGGGGGCTTTGCAGTTCACTTGTCAGCGTTTTGAAATATGTTTGCAATTACTGAATTTGTTAACCCACAGCAGCTTTTTTTTTACTTGACATGTTGCTCTGGGCTATTGACATTATTGAGTTAAAAATAACAATCTGGTTACCATCTGAACTATGAGCATACTCACAAATCATTTGCATACATTTACATGATGTTTGCGATAACTTTCTCCTCCACCAAAAGCAACGTCACTGCCAATTATTTTTGATTTCATTGACATTATTATCATATCAAACCCACGTGAGTCAACAGGCATATTTACATCGTAGGCGAGAGGGATGCTTTTATATCCTCGTAAAAAGATGAATTATTAGTCATCAGATGCACAGAAGTTGTAAAAAAAAGAAACAAAGAAGTGCATATATATCTGTTTTATCTCACCAAGCTAATGAGGAAAGGGATTAATGGAGAGGAGAGACGGATTTGACTCTTCTATGGATCCAAACCCAGACTATCAATTCTCACACAAACACCCCTGGGTATCAAGAGTCTTTCAAGGAAATTATAACATTTCACACAATACAACCAGTGAGATTATTCATACAATGAAATTTTAATTGGAAAACAGCACAGAGAAGACTTCAAACAGCAAATCGTCACAACTCGACTTTTCATTTCCACTGTTCCCCTCTTGTAGCTTTGATTCTCCCGGGCGTTCGCGCACCTTGTTATTGTGATGACAGAACATCAATTACAAATGCATATCTCTCCTGCTTATCTGTTATTTACAGATGAGGGTTTTTCAAGCTCAGCACGGCGACATGCATTGTTACAGATTAGAACCGTCTCAGCAAAGCAGGAAACACGAGCACTATTTTAGGCATTTTATGTTGTTTTTTTTTGCAGACTGCAGCAGTGGAAACAAAGGAGGACAGATCAGTAAGTACAACACAAAGACAGCAGAGACTCCTGCGACTTTAATTACACAAGCAAAGTTTAGCTTGACGCCAAAAACAAAACAAAAAAAAGTCACTTTGCAACATAAAGTCGTCATTGTTTGGTTTCTTTTGCCATTTTAAACATCTTGCAACTTTTCCCCTGATATCGGTTTTAGAAATAAGTGTAATTTTTACACCAAGAATGCCTTTCAATGTTTTTTCTTCACCATTTTTTGTTGTTGCGTGTCTTGTTTTTGGAGCATGCTTCTCTTCCTGTTGATTCTTTCACACTTTCTTGTTTTGCCCTTGGAGGGCTGTCGTTGGTTTTGCAAAAAACTTTTATCTGCAGGTTATGTAAGCGGGGAAAGAGACAGAGATATAAGCCGAAAACGTTACTGGGAATACCTCTGCAATCTCATGCAACCTTATAAAACATCACTGTCATGAGTTCGGCTTCTAAATGTTTTAGTAGAAACTCTGAGAGAGGTGATCATTTCTTCTTTTTTATTCAGAAAGCAACGTTAAGAAGTACCAGACTGGAGAAATTCAATATATGAAAATGAATGCATGTTATTGGATAAAAAATACAGGAATTCTTTTCAGATATGCGGAAAGCAATAAATCAAAATCAAAACTGTTTAAGCTTTACAGTTTTATTTCTGGATTTCGCTGCTGATCTTTGATAATTTTTTTGAAAATGAAAATACGTGAACGACGTGCCTCTGAAGTAAAGCAGCGTTGAGTTCAGTGTTCGGATGAAGAGTGGCCTTTCACAGCTTCTGAATGGAGCAGAAAACCATAACTCTGATTTTAGACACGCTTTAAAAGAAGTTCATCTTCATTGTTTTTAGTGTAGATTCACTAAAAACTGTCTACAGTTTTTACATCAGCAGCAGTTCCCTTACCAGTGGTTGAGATATTATTGCAATGTAAATGCAATAATAATAAACAGTAAATGTTCCTTTTCATAGGATTCACAGCTAAATTAGTGGAACGTAACATTTTCACTTCTGGAAAACACTGTTAAGTTTGTAATTTTGTCATTGTGCGTCACCAGCCTAAACCCTCACTGCAGAGAGATTTCCTGTCAGGATTTTAGTTGTGCAACAAAAGACGATGAATCGCTTTTGGGAATTATCTGAGCGAACTAAAAGTCAGCAGATTGTTGCATCCAGTGAATGTTGTTACTTTGTTTATTTGTTAAAAATAGCAGAAACATAGCATAACATTGGTGCAGTAAGAGGACATTGCTTAGATGAGAAAACTGTGAGAAAAATAACAGTCTCTTGTGAAAATGTAGATAATTAATACAAATATATAAATAAAATTATGTTCCACAGATAGCTATGAAACTTTTAAGTTTGTTTTAAATTGCTAAAATTAGCTCTTAAATAGGGGTAAAATAATTTTTAAATAGCAATACAGACATTACTGATATAGAAAACAGTGGCAAAACCAAACATTTGCTTCTTGTGAAATAAAGTCAGCTAATGCTAATGTAGCATTGTATGAAAAGATTCAACTGGTGTTTTAAGCTGCTGACATTTGCGGTTAGCAGTATACAGCTATGGGCTACTGGGCTTACAGCTGGGCTACAACTATGTTAGCATAGTAACAGCATAGTGGACATCGATAAACTGAGAAAATGGCAACAAAACAAAAAATTATAACTAGAAACAGTTTTTAGTTAAAGTGTAATCAGCTAATGCAAATATAGCATTGATAACATCAGCTAAAACTCAGGCATCCGTCCAGCTAGCCAGGTAGTTCGCTAGCTAGCTTCACTAGCTTATTCGCTAGCTAGCTACTTCACCAGCTTATTCGCGAGTGAAGAAGCTAGCTAGGTAGAAACTAGCTATTTACCTAGCTAGCTGTTCTAGCTGGCTAGGTAGATGGATGGGTGACTCAGTAAGCTAGGACGCTAGCTAGCTAGGTCTGTTTGGAAATTTTCTGTCAGTAAAACAAAATTTACAATTATTTTATGCAAAAACAGTTTGTTTCTTTTGCATTAGCTTTGAGGACTTATTAGAAATAAAAAGATGATGTTTTTATGTGCAGCATTGTAAAATCTGAAATTTCCTCCTCCTCATATTAGAAAGTGAGAAGCTGAGAACCAAAACAGATTCATCACGAAATTTGTAAAATTTGCTTTATATATTATTGATTTGCATAAATTCTTACAGTTTTTTTTTTATTAAAATTTTCCCAAAACTGTTGCTTGATAAATGTTCTACCATTTTAGACATGCAGAATAAATAATAACCACTTTGACCTTTAGGAGTCATTTATTTGTCAGTAAAAACAACAACAGAGAACATGGTGGCATAAAAAACACTTTTTTTTCCAAAAGGAAGATTTTTAATTGAATTCTGGAACAAAGTTGGAGTCAAATTTAAAAATTTAAAGAGTGTCCAAGAGAAGCAAACAAACCCAACCAACACTTTCGACATGGTTACCATAGTTTTTAATCAAGTTTTTTAAAAAGCACCTGAATTACAAAAACATTAAACAGATTTAACTTTCAATGACTAAAATGAATAAATTGTGAACAACTGTAATTCTGAGTGTGTGTAGTTTATATTATGAATCTGCATCCTTACAACTTTAGCTAACAATAACAAATAAGAAGATAAAAACTCAGGAAATACATCGACTGGCACAAAATCAGCAGCCGCAGAATCACTTACAGTAATAAAGCATCAAGATTTATTTAGTTTTCACGGCAACACAACACCTGTTCACTAAATGTAAGGAAACTGTTAGTGAGCACGGCTCAAAAAATCCAAGCTACTCATTTACATGATACAACCTGAAAGTGTCTGATTATGACATGCTGTGGTGGATATAAGAGTTTGGTTAAATCTTTATTATAGCAACAATCAGAAAAGTTTGCATGTGTATTTAAAGGTGCAGTATCACGTAAAATCAACCTTTTTTTAAGCCTCACATCATGTTATAATGTCATTCCTTCATCAAAAACAGATTAATCTCCATGGCAACCATTCAGTTGTACAAAACGCCTGGTTGGACCTAGCCCCGACTTCGAGACGCAGCTCCTACTCAGAGCTGCAGTTTCCAAGCTTCTGCCGCACAGAGCAGCTCCTTCAGACTAGCCAGCAGCAATTAGCAAACATCTGGTGAAACTGCACATCTGCTGAGGTCGTTAAAGGAGTTACTCCTCAGTTCAATGCTGGTAAAAACGTTGTTAAATGGTTCTTAAAGAGACAGAGGCCCAACTTCAAGGTGTTAAATCAGGAAGTAACATTTCTTTTAAGTGATATTTGAATACAACATTTTTATAATGACCTACAGTAAAATTTTTACTGCATTATGCTGTTTTATGCCTGGAAAGCACATAATACTGCCCCTTTAAAGCACTGTACATGTGCAAACAGATTTAATAGAACATAAAGTAAAAGTGAAAGCTTTAAAAAAGAAGAAGGACCTACATTGATTTCATTCGCTAGTATACAACATGAGGCAGTTAATGATGCCTTTGAGAATATAATCAATGAATACGAAATGCTCTTTTTCCACAAATGAGGTCTGGAATATTTCTCAGATCCAGAAACAGTTAACATTCAGCTTCAGATCCTCCCCAGCATGCGAGCGACCCACCAGTCACACGGCATCACGACCTGGCAGATGACCCGGCCTCCTTGGTAGTAGTACGGCCACGGGTTGAAGCCGCCCAGGGGCTCGAAGTAGCGGCGGCAGAAGCGGTAGCCGCGGCGGCAGTACTGGCAGCAGTAGCCGCGCTCGTCCAGACGGTTATCCAGCTCGATACCGACCTCCCTCTGCAGAGGACACAGCAGGGCCGCCATCACACACACATGACAAACGCCAGTCCTCCAGAGGCAAGGGCAGGAGGAAGAGGAGGAGGAGGAGGAGTGACTGATGGGAATTGATGAGGTGGCTTTTGGTTCTGGGTCAGGAAAATGTACGCAAAAGCCAAACAAGAGTCAAAAGATCGGAGCTAATGTGTGTGAAAATGCAGAGTTGTGTCGCGTCTGACGGCCGAGACGAAGAGATCAGGAGAGCCCAGGTTTGAGAGAAGCTTCAGTACGACAATGCCTTTGACCTTTTCTATTATAACTGAGGCAAAGCGACTGGCAGCGGCACAGCGAAGCCACCCTTCATAACCTCCCAACCAGCGCTGTTTCCTGTCAAAGGGACTCTTAGTTGCAAGTTCCTAACATAATTGCACTATTTATTTCATCTTTGACCTCTTAACTCCCTCGGATGGAGCGCAGACGGCTCTAAAATGGCCGCCCCTCCTCCAGCAGAGCATTCAAATTAGAGATCCTCACTTCTTGCTGCCCTCCCCGTGACCTTGACTTTAAGTGCATGGCACATTCCTAAAGCAATTAGCAGAGTAATGATCGCCTAAGAAGGATTCTTTCATTTGCTCTTGCTGGCTGCCTCTGAATTTATAGAGGGGCCAAATGAAACCCAAACGAAAGGTAAATTGGGTAGAATTAATGGCCCTTGGATTTTTCCATTGTGCTGCTTGGTTCATGCCCTCATTGACTCTTTGGGCTGAGTGCCATGCCTCCGATCAGGATCCTCCGGATGGGGGTTCGGAGAAGTGCCACTTAACTGGCAACATGCGGGTCGAGGTAGCAAAATGCCCTCGGTATTCATTTGACCACATTTCAATCTCTTTTAGTAAATGAATCCTCAGAGACAATCCGGCGCTGGTTAATCTCCTCGGATCCGGAGATTTGGCCTCAACCCGGACACACGCAATGACTCAGCTACACGCAACCATGCAGAACAAAACACATCCAGAAAATGTGTGGGAAACGCTTAACCCTGAGGGAAACGGACCCGTCCACCTCAGAAATAAAGGGATTTCTCCACTCCACTCTGCAAGTCACACAGCAGTAAATCCCTCTTTGTTTTTGTTTATGTCTCCGCTTGCTACAGCGCCTTGCAATTGTTTTTATTTCCCAGTTTTTGTCACATTACAACCCTGAAGGTCAATACTTTTTATTGGGGTTTTAAGTGGTAGATCAGCACAAAGTGGGGCATAATTGTGAAGTGGTGGAGTGAAAACACTCCAGCAGCGATCGAAACATTAGAAACAGCTTCGTTAGCAGACCAGTGTGTCCTGGTTTCTGGTTTTCATGAGGCGTTTTGCTAAAACCAAACAGTTTGTGTTGAAATAAAAAAGTTTAACATGAAAAAAACATTCAAATGGCTCAATCAAATCAGCTTGAAAGCTGAAACATGTGGTATGTTATGAACCAGATAAAAATGCTCCGCTCCCGGTCAAAAACAACCAGTCAGAGCCAGGAGGCGGGTCTTAGCGCTGTCAATCAATCTGGTGTACGCTGCTCAATGTGCGAATGGTGGAAAAACAATCCATCGTTACAGGAAAACTGTTTAACTAGCATTAGCATTCATAGCAGGCTATGTTGTACCAGTTGAAGCTTAAGAGCAAGTGAGAGTGATTGACAGCGCTAAGACCCGCCTCCTGGCTCTGATTGGTTGTTTCTGACTGAGTGGATCAGAGAAACTGATTATTTTAGGTGGTCTCTCAATGTTTTCCAGAGCTGTATAATACCGGTAAATATCGATTATCGGCCATAGCAGTAGTATTAAAATATCAACATATGTCCATGTCGTTGCATCCCTGAAAACTCATAATACGGGAAAAAATACAAGTTTTCCAAATTATGTTTTATATTGAGGGAAAGATGTTTTGTTCCACTGGCAGATTACTTCAGCTTTAACTAGTACTTTTTGTCCAATGTTAAAGAATTAAGCTGCTATTCCTTGCTGAAAGTTACTTTAAGTTAATTTTGTCTTATGTCTGATGTATTTGCACCAGAAACTAAACCAAAAGTACTTTAAGATTTTGTGTTTTTGCAGCGTAAAAACGTTTCCTTCACTCCGTTTTGATGGTCTGCCACATAAAATCCCACTAATACGTATTGATGCTTTAAAAAGTGGAGACGCTGTGAGCAGTTCTGTGAATCTCTGCAGCTCCTGCTAAAAGCCGGAGCAGTGAGGAAGTCTGTCATGCGTCTGATTGGAGCGCTGATAAGGCGAGCCGCGCTGCACACACTCGCCAGACATATTTAAAACACACAGAAACAGATAAACATCGAGCATAGCTGCGTTTGATTTATGACTATGACAGGCTCAGGTAGGCTTTTAATGATTTATTGTTCCAGTCGGGTTTCAGGTCATCAGCTTCCAGGCAACAATCTGTTATGGAAACAACACGAAGGCTGTCAATGGACCGACGATAATCTTATCTGCTTCTCGCAGCCCGAACTGGGATGTAACCAAGTCTGGCGCTCCGGCTCAGAAGAAATGAAGGAAATATTTTATTCAAATGACGTTTATCAACACAAACAGCCAATGGGCAGCATTGTAGCTTAAAGAGAATTAATCAGAGCTATCCTTTAAAACGCAGCCTCCATATTAATCGCCTTCGCTCTGAGTTGCCGTCTCTCGTGGGAAGCTGAGGTGATAAGAATAGTTCACCTTGGGAAATCTGAGACAGTCACTCACAAACAAGCCGCATTAATGAAGAGTAAAAGCCATTACCCCCTCGCTGCCTCTGATTTCATCACACCCGTCCTCACACACACACACACACACACACACGCGCCTCCATGCATAATATGAGACACTGGATGTGAATGAGTCGGCAGTGTAGAAAACTGTGTCAGTCATTCAATAAGATGTAACGAATCAAAGCATGACTCCTCTAATCTCCACACTTGTTGGTATTATTTCACACACCCTGACCGCCGCTCTTCATGAAGCACATCCCTGGTTGTGTTATTAAATCTCATCACATTCATTCTGTGATCAAAACGGCAGCGATAACGCTTCGTTCCCTGCCCTGCGTTTCTTTCACTTCAGGCAGGAGGGAAGGAGCAACATCTGAAACGTGTTGCTGTGAGACCTGGCCTCAGATTTCCATCTCTGTGCGTTACAGTGAGGAGGGATGACAGTGAAAACCGATGTACTGTAATTCAATAGCGCAGTCATGTTTTTCTGTACACTGGGAGTGATAAGGAGCTTTAGGTTCAGAGAAGATTTCTTTGCTGTCTTTACATTCCTGCAGCTTTTTACCTCTGGTATGCATTGCACTGAAACCTTACGGAAGCACTTATGACTCCATATTTTGATACATTTTCCACAAAAACATCAGTTTGTTAGGTTTTTATTTGATAGACACAAAGTAGAGCATGAATGTGAAGTGGAAAGATCCACAGTTTTCAAACATTTTTTATAAATAAAAATCAGGTGCAACTCATTAGTAATTAATATTACTTGCTAATATTTGTTTTTTACTCCATAAAATCAGCCACTGCAGCCGTGTGACCAGCCAGGTAACACCAAAACATCACTGCATACCTTTGGAAGCCTGCAATGCTACAAATACACAGCAACTGTCTTTACATATTAAAGGTGACCTATTATGCTTCCTTTAACAGAGTAGGATGTGGGACTTACAAAAAATTATGTTCACTACATTTTTTGCACAAAATCATTCTCAGATAATGAGATTTTATTCTGCTCAGTTCTGCATATCTTCTCCCAGAATGAGCTGTTTCAGGGCTCTGTCACTTTAAATCCAAATGAGCTGCTGTTGGCCACGCCCTCCATTAAAACGTTTACACTCACTCGTAAAAATAGCTGCAAGCAGATGTGCATTCAAATGTACGTCTTTGAAAAGCAGAAGTGGAGCCTGCTGCACAACCAACCAGAAAGCAGCAAGTGGTTTCTGAGTGGTAAGTTATCAATAAAACACATGCCTTTTCTAGCACCCACTGTAAAGCACATGTAGCAGTAAAACCAGCTGACCAAACATGCTGGAGCTCCACTTGGGTTGCTAGGCAACAGCGCATTGACTTAACATTCTGGAGGTTTTTGAAACGGCTCATTTTTGTCTTAAAAAGATTAATTTACTGCCAAAAAACAGGTGTGTGTTTTTTTAAGTGCTTTGGCTATTTTTAGAAGCAGGAGAAACCCAAATGGAAGTAGAAAAATGTGAAAAAAGTCAATTTTTCATTATAGGGCTCCCTTAAAACATCCGGTTACTTCATATCAAAAGCTCTATTTTGCTATTTGGGTCAAGCACAGCGGTGCCATCTCTCCACAGGCCTGTCAGGGGAGGCAGTTATTTAGTCTGAGATGTTCAGGGCCAGCTTGGAGGCAACCTGCGCTCCAACAGGGCAGCCGTGGCAAAGTTCAGCAGCATATATCTGTCAGGCTCAGCCACAAGGACTCAGCCGATTATCCCGCTTTGTGAGCGCGCGCTGCGGGCCGGAGTGGCACCGGATCCCAGGTCTGTGAAATGCAGATGAGCTGAGCGAATGTTTTTTATGTGTGTCAGAAGAAAGGAACCAGTGTGTGTGTGTGTGTGTGTGTGTGTGTGCACATATACATGAGCGCAGGAGGAAGAATAATAAATAAAAATAAATGCGGCTCACACATGTGGCATCCCACCGACATGAGCTAAAGCTCAGACTCCCAATTACAGACTGCTGCCTGCCCTCCGCTCGGCCACAAAGGCCTTTGTTATCAGCAGACCCACAAACAGCGACTGGAATGGATTGCAATGGTGCACATTGCTCGGCTGATAGCGGCAGAACATTTCAAAAGGAGCGCAGAGTTTTTCATCCCCTGGTCTGTTTTAATTGCACGGACAGTCGGGGAGAAGACAGAAGCCGAGGTGTTTCTGGGACGGGTCTGATAAATGTCAACGCTGCGGGACGACGTCTCGTTTCTACGTTTCTCATCGCTGTGAGGAGGAGAGCGAGCGTGACTCATTATCCTTGAAGTTACCTGAAGTGGCAACTGAAGCGCTGAGCACAAAGCTGTATAGCCTGTGTGTCACCTGCATCTTAAATCACGGTGCTTGAAGTCCTTGAAAATACTGGAATTTCAATAAGGTGTTTTCAAGGTCTGCTAAGTCCTTGATTTCAGTATGGACTCCTTGCAGCGTGACGACATGCACGTAAGATCCCGCCCCCATCTTCCTGCTGGAGGGCTAAAAGCTGCTAGCTAACGATGACTAGCATTGCTTTTAGCCGTTAAGCTATCAATATAATGTGCTAAATCTTAAATGTACACCTGATATATAAAAGAAAAAAGTGATGCAGTGCTTTGCTACTAATTGTCAACAATACAACATCTAGATAACACGGTCAGGAAAAAGCTTTAACTAAAAAATTGTGAGGGAGAGGGAAGGGGTTCGGTTATGCTAGCTTGACTTTGACAAACGTAACCTGGAGATGTGCTGCAGAATCTGGTGAGTTTTGGTTCAGTTAAAAAATTTAAAAAATCCAGGAATTTAAATTAGCTAGTAAACCACCGCTGTGTTAGCTTAGCTAATAACAACAGTAGCTAATCTACCACAGTGATCACTTATCAATAAATTCAACATAAACATGAAGCCTAAAAATATAAAACTGTAATGGACTGAATGTTCTGATCTGTTTGTGGGAAATGTTTGAGTGTTGAATCCTGACACAAAGTGTCGTCGTCAGTTGCTATGGCAACGGGTCTGGTGTAGCATAGCCGACAGAGAGCAAGAAAAAAGTGGTTTTGAGTTGTTTTCTCTACGTTATTCTTCCCTTCGCTGTGGCGCACTGCACTAAATTAATACTACCTGCATTTCCAGGTTTCATTTAATTTCCTGAGTGGCAGCGCAGACATGGATAGTTTGTAAAAGAGTAGAATCGTCTTTATTCATTGTTTCTGTTGTTGTTTTAAATGTCTTCCAGTGTTAAATGTTCAATAGAATTTAAAGTTTATTGATCTTTGAGAAAATGTGTTTGTGCATTATGGTGCCATTTCTTGAAAATGATCCCAAAACAACAATATTATCGTTCATCACAATAACTTCTAGGGCAATTTATCGTCCAGCAAAATTTGCCTAATTTGATTAAAATCTTAAATATAATGTACAGCTGAAACCAGACATTTTCATACACCGAGTAAGACGTGTTTCTCTCTCTGAGGTTAAATCAGAGTGTAAGAGAGATCTTTCAAACATAAAGTTTTGTTTTATTTTAGTTTACAAGACTATTACTAAAGTTAATAAATTATATTGTGAACTGAAACTGTTTTTTTTTTTGTTTTCATCTCCAAAGTTTCTGGAGTTTCAAAACTTACCTTGAAAATGCTTGAAAATGCTTGAATTCCCTTGAGGGAAAAGCGTGTGAACTGCAGTTTGTAATTTACGGCGCGGCGTGATTGTCCCTCAGAGCCGGCGATAATTAATCACGCTGCATTGAGAGGTCTGGATGCAAAACCCCAACACTTGGCCTCTGCATGCGTTTTATGTGCTTTTATAATCAAAGCTTTATTAATAAGTGCAACTTATCTGTGCAGCAGCGAGTGACCTTGGGATTGCTGCTTTGTGCAGAGATGTCCGCTGACTGAGGAGGGGGAGCCAAAGCTCCAACGGGCTGCAAGGCACAAGTTGCTGCCTTTGAAAGGCTGGATATTCCTCTCAATTAATGGAGAGACATTAAGGGAGTCTTCAATGAACTAGCCTTGCTTAAACAGATATATAGAGCAATTGCTGTGCCCTCTGGTGCACAAAGTCAGTTTTAACATCAATTAGTGAGCAATTTATATGCAGAAAGAGTGGAGGCAGAGCGGCCTGATTGAAGCAGCTCACTGTATCTCGTGGTGTGGTCTCTGGCAGAGAGGAAGAGGAGAGGAAGAGGAAGAGCTCGGCCTCCACTTACGTAATCGTTCACTGGAGCGTGGTCCAGGACGTCCCGGGCGAAACGCTGACCTGTGACCTCTGCGTCGGGCGTGTCCACATCCTGAGCCTCGCCGTCTGCAGGAGGGAAGGAGACAAGCGCCGTGAATTTCTGCTGTTTGAAAAGGAAACGAGGAAGATTAAAATTTCACCCTGTTCTCCCTGTGGCTTTTTGTAATTAACAAGTGAAATGTGCTCAGATTCAACCTAGACTCTTTTTTTTCCTTGTTCGGTTAAACAATGCTGTTCTTGTTGTACTAACATGAATTTTAATTTGTGAAACATCACGTTTTACAGCATGTTGGAAGGAATCCCAGTCTCACCATAACCAGACAGAAACACGCTGGAGGTGGTTTTACACTGCAAAAACACAAAATCTTACCAAGCATTTTAGTTCATCGGCCAAATACCTGACTAGAAATAAGACAAAACTAACTTATATACAGGAGCTTGTGTTAAAGTTAATAATTCTTTAATATCGATGAAAAATACGAGTTGCATTGGCAGTTGTTTGTTTTTTCAACTGAATTAGGACTATTTTGCACTGCTGAATCCAAAAATAAAATAATCTTTTAAAATCAGGTCGGGGTTTTATTCTAATTTGATTAAGAGAAATCAGATCTTCTGACTGAATTGATTACATTTTTGTGACATTATCAGTTCTCATCCAAAAACGGTTTTAGGAGAAAAAAATTGTTTTCTAACAGAGTGTATTTAAATATTACCAACCTGGATTTATGTGAATAATAAACACTGATAAGGGTAAATTAAACATTACGTCTTCATCTCTCATTGATCCAGATTGTCAGGAAACCGATCCAGATATGGGAACAAGTCGTGCATTTTGGTGCTCATGTTGCTCCGTAGTTCAGAAATCTGACCTGACTGAGTAAAACCAACGTGATTTTTGGATTCAGCTCATCAAAATGACCCTGAAACAGTTGAAAACCCCCAGAAACATTTAGGCTGTTGACCGGTGTAATTTAACTTACAGCATGGAAAAATGTTTTGTTACAAGTGAAATAATCTACCAGTGAACTAGAACTTTTTCATCAACATTAAGGAATTATTAACTCAAAATAATCTCCTCTATGATGCCGAAAATTTACTTGCAAGCGTCTTTGTACAAGTGTACAAAGACACTTGCAGTGGAAACTGGACCAAAAGTACTTGATAAGATTGAGCATTTCTGCAGTGCAGTTTAAATAAAAATAAAACAATCTGTGCATTTTGTTACATTAAAACAGAAAACTTTATTACTTCATTAGGATAGAGCAGAATTGTGAAACTAGATGGTTTTAAAGATTTAAAAGTGTGTTTGTATTCAGATGCTTTTTCTCTAAATAAAAAAAAAAATCAAGTGCATTTTGATGAGTATTTTTTTAATACTCATCAGTATGGATGAGTATTAAAAAAAATAAAAAACATTTTTTCCCAGTTCTATTGATATTAAAGCCAGAATTGTCTTTCTTCCAATGGCTTAAATGTTTTTCCACTGCTGCTTGATAAAAGCATAAATGCATCTCTTTTGAAAGCCACACTGCCAAACATGGTGGTGGCAGCATCATGCTTTGGTAAAGATGTTCAGTCTGCAACAAAACATCCTAATAAATAAAATACGCTGAAGTCTGAGGTTTTAATGCTCCAAATTTAAATAAGCTTAAGTGAAAACGTTTTAAAGAGACTGCCGTGTCTCAGGCTGAAAACAATGAAAATAAAATTTTCTTTGTAAAATATTTAATCTGTTTTCAAGAGTCAGATAAATATTCACATCAGCTCTGAAGTTAATGCACCAAACCTGTTGGTAAACACGCTGCTTCACACTCCCTGCAGCCCTAAATTAGAAAGACTCAAAGACAAATGTCTCATCATCAGGTGAATATTCATGTCTTTTAAATCATTATTTATTTTCTGAGTGTTTATCAAAACAGAAATCTGCACAGCGGTTAAAGTCTCTGTTTTGTGGAGCTGCTGGTGAAGCCGCGTCTATCTGCTGCTTCATGCTGACTGCAGAATCTAAATGTTTTTAGATATTAAATCAACTGCAGGAGCTGAAACTCTGCCAGTTCATCTCTGCAAAGATCTAGATTAATGTTTTCACATTGTTTTTTTTTAATGAGGTAAACCTGTAATCCAGCCCGTCACTGGCTGAGCAAACAAACTTTCACTAAACGCCAAAAAACCTAAATGTTAACTTATGATTCCAGCTTTTAGTTTTATGTCAATATCGCAAATCTATGTTTTGAATTTCACAGGTTGATCTCATATTAAATGTTATGTTCCTAATGGTATGTTGAGTGTGTAACTATTTTTGTAATGTTTTATTTTTAAGATGTGGACCCCAGGAAACGCAGCCATTGTTACGGTAAATAAATAAACACATAATCTTATTTTTTACGTTTTCCAGTGTTCAACAGGAAGCAGTGTGTTTGAGGTGTTGCTTTAAAATTCCTGCACAGAAGCGCCTCCATTTGACTCAAATTTCAAGTCCAGTGGTGTTTTTCCTCTGATTTCTCCCTCCACCACAGTCCTTCAGTCTCTACACTCTCCTGACACACAAAGAGCAGCTTGAACAAGCTGCTCATGCAGTTGGTAAATCATGCCTCCTCCACGGACCTCCGCATGGCCTGTGGGGAAGCCCTGCAGCTACAGTCTTAATAGTCTGCGTTTAGAGGCAGATATGCCCCCTGCTCTCACCAGTCATGGGGGAGGGATGGATCCAGTGGATGGGCATCTGCTGGCAAATCTCCCAGATCTTGGAGTCGAGCAGGAAGTCCGGGTTAACGACGGGCTCCTCGGCAGGAACCCACACTCGGGAGTCCTCCACCTGCACTTCCACGGCCTCGGCCTCGTCGACCTGCCGGACGACAGCGCACACAACACTCGCGGCTGCACGTTTGTTACACAAACACATTAAAAAGCATGTCGGCTCCTGCTAAAAACACCTCGCTGTCCTGCATTTGCACTCTTCTCCCTGGAGCTGTTCCAGCCTTGTAGCTCCATCTATCACCTCTGTGTCTTCAGAGAGGAGAGCAACCTCCTGACTCCTGACACCCGCTGCCCTACCTCGGCTCTCACCCGCCTCTCGAGCCCCTGGCATGCTCCTTTCTAATATATATCATTGAAATTCACAGACACCCATGATTTGACTTTTAAATGACTTTAGAAGTGGTCTTCATTACTCCGAGAGTGGTTGCAATGTCGCGAAATGTGACAGACACAATAAAGTCTTGCATTCTCCCTCCACCCTCCGTACTTTACTTGGCACCCAACGCCATCAGACGGCTTAATTTGTTGATACTGTAGTTCATGAGCTGTAAAGTAAACTATTATTGCTTAATGATAGGGACTGCATGTCAGTGTTGTCTAATAGAGACATATGACGGGGATTTGGTAATGCTCTCCCCTAACAGTGCAGATATTTATTTTCTTCATGTATATGTAAATACACACGCAAACAAACCCTTCTCTTCCCTTTCCCTTGCTAATTAGCCGCCCAGAACAGAGAAACAGTTCACTTGACAAATGTTTTTACAAGGTGATTTTCTTCCAGTCTGCAGCTTAATTGCACATTAGTTAAGCTTGATGATGTAGAATCCTGGGGCAATAGCAGGAGTGGGAATCATTTATAGCGGGTCCTGCCCCCCTCCCTCATCTCAGCCCCTGTCACTCTCACTTGAGTTACAATTTCACCCCATTTGCTGCTTTTTGTGTATCAGTAGTGGCAACTGCCCCCAGAAAGCTCAGTTTAAAGGAGGCGCATTTCACAAGATTCACATTTTGCCTGTTTTTGTACTTCCATTTGGGTTTCTACTGCTTCTAAAAACAGAACAAGCACTTAAAAAAAAACTATGTTTTTTAGTGTCTGGAAAAAGACCTGCTTCTAAAACCTTCTGAATGTAACATCACAAATCAGCAGGCACTGCCCAGCCCGTTACCTAGCAACCCCAGGGAATTCCAGCCCGTTACCTAGCAACCCCAGAGAATTCCAGCCCGTTACCTAGCAACCCAAGCTGAGTTCTAGTTCTGAGTTCAAGTGTTTCGCTTGTGACTTGTCAAAGCACGATTCGTACCACCAGCTAATTTGAGCATTTGCTAGTAGCAATACTTCAAGAGAAGGTATTTTTTTAAATTTCTTTTTACATTTCGTATGTTATTGTAATTATAAAAAAATAGCGCATGATTTCAAGAGAATAAAAAGAAATAAAGATAAAAATGGTTAAAACACATTTTGCTGGACCAATAATGAAAAAAAAATCAAGTATTTGTATGTGCCGGTGAACAACAATCAAATGTAATAAATTAGTGTTTCACATCAACACGTTGAATAGCCGACAGTCAGCCAACACTTTTAGTTAATGTCATAAAAAATGCGATTTTTATAAAAATAAAGGGTACTTTTGACGATGATGAGTCCATCAGAAGGCATATTGACAGTAGCTTACAGTCCCATGGGTCCAATACACAATTATAATTTATGGATTAAATAAAGGCAATTATTATTCTTGAAACATTGCTTTGGCCTCTCACAATGAGTATTTTAATTAACATAAATAAATATGCTACACTTTATTGAGGTACATTTTAAACATAACCCAGAAGTATTTCTTCAGTGCGTACCTAAACGAGCCAACGGTACGCTTCGTCGTTCAGTGACATGACTTAGCTTGTGAACAAGTTGGGGGACGTATTATTTGGATTTAAAGAGACAAGAGGCCCTAAAGGAGCTCATTCTTAAAGGAGCTCAGAATAGGCAGAACTGATTTAAGAATGATTTTGAGCAGGTTTTGTATAGGCCATTGACCCATCCTAACCTGTTCAGGGAAGCATAATAAATCACCTTTAAGCCAATTCTGCTATGTCAGAGGTCATGTTGGGTGCAGGGTTTATTCACCCTTTTCTTACACACTTTCCTTCACTTTTAATCACCAACAGTAATGATAACTGGGAGGACCGGCATGTGCCGCAGGGTGATGGTGGTACAACAGCAGAGGTGGTGCTCCGGCGCTGTGCTGCAGAAATTAAAATCAAACACAAACAGCACTCTTTAATTGGACCTCTTAACCACTGGAGCCAAGTGAGTCTTCACTGGGAAGTAAATGGAGGTCAGGACACGGGGCTCACAACAAGACTTTGACTTCACAGTTGAGAAACGACTCCAATAACTTGGAGGAGGGAGAGAGAGAGAGAGAGAGAGAGAGAGAGAGAGAGAGAGAGAGAGAGAGCAAGCACCCGGGGGGAAGTGGTAAAGGTCAGTATTTTAGCATGGGGCATGGATTTCTAAATGCCAGTTGACAAGCACAAAGACAACATGATTACACACTGCCAGTTTGTACACACTTCTGAAAGGCTTTTCCATTTTCTATTGACAAATGACATATTATTAAGACACAAGCAACTTTTTATCATGTATTGGACCTTGGAAATGATGGTAATTTGTTTTGCAGCAGCCTGCTCCTGGAGCATGTATGACTTTCGCCTACAGTGCACAACTTAATTATATACCAGTTGTGCTGTAGTTAACAAATTTACCCTCTCCTGCCACCGTGTCCCAAGGGGGGAAAAGCCTGTCGACATGACACATTGTTTAAGCGCCGCTGTTTGCCAGAGATCAACAAAGATTTTCTCACCATACCCAAGAGCTTTCACATGCCAAACGCAGCACAGCGGAGGTTTTTTATCTGGTTAACCGGTGAGTGAATTTCCCAGACAAATTCGACCAGGAAAGTGATACATGTGAAACATCTGATTGCTCTTTTTCATCGTCTGATCCACACACTGTAAAACATTTGAGCCCCATTTAGTTGTGTCTACTGTCTTCTACTGTGTGAGACAAATACATTTAGCCAGTTGAGTTTGCGAAAGATAAACTTGTGTAAGTTGTGCTAACATTTTACAGTGTTTGTCAAGAGTTGAATAAACTTGAGTTTTTAACTTAACACCTTAAAAAAACTGAAAGAAGACAAAGACAGGAGTGGGAACTATTTCCCAGAATGCTTAGCTGCATGTTTTTGTATCATCATATGGAAACGCATTACATTGACCAGACTCTTGCTTTATTAAGGAAAATGTTTATTTTAAGTTTCTGGTTC